TTCCTTGGCCCTCCAACCTGCAGAGTGCTCTTATTTCAGAGGCACACATTTCACTTTGATCTTGTGATAATTTTCCAAATTTGTTTTCTCACTGTCATCAGAGCTTGTGGCCAGAAAGGATGAATGACAACAGCAACAGGGAGCACAACTGATCCATTCTAGTCACTCCCGGAGCCTCAAACACCCTACTGGCCAAGAGCAGGCCTATTTTTAATGACATCAGAGAAACTGAGTCAGTTTAGGAGACTCCTCTGGAATGATTAAAATCATCCAAGGAGGGCATTACAGAGCAAGAAGAAGATCTTGATGGAGCCAGTGTGATGCTAACATTAAGGGGCGCTGGAGCAACAGCCATAGTGATCCTGAGGGCGCGGGCACCTGCAGAGTGCTCAGGGCTTCACACGTTAAGCAAGGGATGGGGTAGGCAAGGGATCTACTCCCCATCTTCTGGGTACTAGTCTTAAAGCTCTGTTTACATAGCACTACATGACCTTGTTTGGGTTTTCTGTTGTTTGGGAGTGTGTTGGGGGGGGATGGGTGGGTTGTTTTGGACTTTTTTTCAGAGCCAAGAACTGAACCCAGGTTCTCGCACGTGCTAGGCAAGTGCTCTACCCCGACCAACGCCAAGATTGCATGCTACGAATATTAATGTAGGAAGGCTACACAAAATTTCTGTTCACATTTCATAAGAAGGAAAAACTCTTTTTTATTCAAGATGCAAATTTTGAGGAGGAAATAGACAATAATTTCAAATGTCAAGGATCAAAGATGAAATAGAGCTGAAAAAAAGGGATTTGTGTGCACTGCTGACCCTCAAAGAGCAGTGCCTTAGTGTTGGGACAGACCCCAGATTACAGAGCTGCAAGAGCCAGAAGCACTGAGCTAAGTGAGCTCAATGGAACTTTCTCAAGGCTCCAGGAAGTGTAAGCAGAGAGGGCCTGGCTATTAGCTATCCTGGGTATGAGTAGCGTGACAGCACTCCTATTTATTGAGCTTCAGCTGTGTCATATCCTAGATATGTGCACATCACATATGTTTCCACATTTAATCCTCACACTACTTCATGAGAGGAGTGAAACCCTACCCATCTTGCTAATGAACTCATTTGCTGAATGAGTTCCAAAGAGGTTAACTTTCTAGTAAGCAGGAGTTAGAACCCGTCTGTTTCCAAAGCTCTTTTTACAGCAGTCACATGCCTGGTAGAGCCAAGGGAGGGTTGACTAGTTGTTATTTTAAGAAAGGAGAGGCTTAGGCACGGTCATTGGCAGAAAGGAATAAATCCTCCCTAATGCCTATGCAAAACCTCCCACTCTCTGCCACTCTTGTCTTACCATCTCACTCTCTAGTTCCTGAATTCCAAATGTATTTCACCCTACCAACATCTGGTCTGAGAAGACAGAGGTGGGGCCAGGTGGGGCCAGGTGGAGTGAGAATGTAGTTAATGGGAATCACAATAAACTCAACCTGCCTAGTTTGGTGGCACACTGCTATGATCCCCACTAGTCTAGAGACTGAGTCCTAAGAATCACAAATCTGAGGCCAGCATCAGCAACTTAGCAAGACCCTATCTCAAAATAAAAATAAAAAGGAATGGGGATGTAGTTCAGTGGTCAAGTACCCCAGTGTTCAATCCTCAGTACCGGGAAAACCAAACCAAACAAAAACAAACATCAACTATCTTTTTTCACATGCTTTGTCTTCAGGACAAGTCAAGCTCTAAGAAACATATTTCCCACTGCAAATGTGTGATCTACATTGTGAGCTACGTCAGTTTTCTGTTTATTAAAATATAGCTGGGCACAATGGTGCACACCTCTAATCCCAGCAGCTTGGGAGACTGAGACAGGAGAATCAAAAGTTCAAGTCTAGCATCAACAATTTAGAGAGTCCCTAAACAATGTTTTGAGACCCTGTCTCAAAATAAAGAAAAATTAAAAGGGTTGGGGATCCAGTTCAGTGCTAAAGTGCCCCTGGTTCAATCTTTAGTATCAAAATAAAATATCTATAGATAGGACTCCAATCAAGAGTGGGCACTTGCTCCAGCCATTTTTTCCCAGGACTGTTCCTATTCTTTACGTCCAAATCCATGTAGCATTAGCATTAAGCAACTGGAATCACCTCCCAGCTCCCTCTCCCTAACCCCCCCAACCCCAGAAGCACTAACCAGATTAGATAGCACCTTGGACACCTGATCCCCTCAAAAGAAAAGTGAAAGGGAAGCAGGAGGGAAGAATCAAAAATTGAAAGATCAGTTTGGTACTAGGCACTATGCTAGCATCTTTTACATATACTGGTTCATTTAAGCCTCACATACCCACTCTGAGTTATGTATTAGTGAAATAACTGAAAACACCACTTGATAAACAAAATTATTTATCTGAAGATCTGAATTTAAAGTGAATAGGTGGGAGGTTCAGACCTGAAACAAGCTTTGCCTGGTCCTGGAGTCTGGGTCTGCCAATGGGAATTGGAACATCTGGATTGGGTCCCACTAAAGTGCATTCTGGCCAAATGGTCTGAAGCACAAAAATGTCCTCAGCATAAGGCAATTTCACCTCTCCAAAGTCCTCAGCCCAGAACTAGGCTGTTGGAGTTTAGAGCCAATGATTTTATTATGGATCCTAATTTCTTTAGCAAAGAAACATCTTGAACTGGTCATGAACAAAGTGACTTTCTCTGACCAGTGAGCAGGTGGCTATTCCATTTCCATCCTCAGAACTGACCTCCTGCTGCCCAGGGAGGGGGAGTGGGGAGAAGGGAGGGTGAGGAGAGCCTGATGTCACTCAGCCCTACATAAGGGCCTCTTTTAGGATCCTGCAGGCAATTTGGAAGCCGCTGGAGGAGCGAGTTAGGTCCTGGTTGTGGGATTTTTTCTTTTTAAAGACAGACACAAACACAGCTGTTGGGTAAAAATGCCGCCTCCACAGAAAATCCCAAACCTCAAACCTTTCAAGCAGAGGAAGAACTTAGGTAAAGTTCTTGGGGGAGCTCGCTGGGTTACCAGAGGAAAAGCAGAGCAAAAGATGCAGCCTGCTCTTACTGTCTACTTATTCTTTTGTACTTGAACTGTTCGCAGCAACCAGACAACAGGAAGTTGCTGGAATCCGGGCAAAGTTCCCAAACAAGATCCCGGTAAGACTCCATTGTACTTCCTTAGTGGGGCCTGGGATCCTGTCCTCTGATTAAATCAAGACCCGCTGGAAGGCCTCCCTCCTCTGTTCCAAGTTCCTAGCACTGAGCTCTGAATTTCATTCTGAAGGGCTGAAACTCTTGACAGGTGATAGTGGAGCGCTACCCCAGAGAGCAGTTCTTGCCCCTGCTGGACAAAACCAAGTTCCTGGTTCCGCAGGAGCTGACCATGACCCAGTTCCTCAGCCTCATCCGGTAAGTGACAGTGAACGCAGGTGCTAGTGTGTGTGTGTGTGTGTGTGTGTGTGTGTGTGTGTGTGTGTGTGCCTGTGCAAATGCGTGCTGTGCCTACCTGGGCCTTTTCTTTGTTCTTTGGTTCTTTGATTTGGGGGGGTGGGAGGCCAACAGGAGAAGATAGGTTGGTTTTTGTGACTCATCTTTATATTTTGTAGTATCCTGAAACGATACTCTTAGAAGTACTCTATTTTAAACAGGTGGGGAACCCCCCCCCGCCCCGGCCCAGACAACAGTTCTAAAAATCTGCCAAGATTTCTAAGAATTTCCTAAAGTAGTCTTGGCTCCGAAGCTACTCCAGAAGAGCCTTTCTTTCAGATACCATCTGAAACCTAGTCTGTCTGTCTCCTGGAGCAATTCCTCCTCCAAGTGTTTGTGCCGGACCTTTTCAGAGGGGAAGGGCTTTTTGCACTGCTCAGACAATGAAGTTGGAGCACAAGACCCTCTCCTCCTTTCGGTTTAAGGTAAAGGCATAGCCAAGAAAATGCAGCTAGTTTTAGAGTACAAGAGAGAGCCGGCCCGGTGGAGCACACCTGTAATCCCAGTGGCTCTCGAGGCCCAGACAGGAGGATCACAAGTTCAAAACCAGCCTCAGCAATGGCGAAACACTTAGCAACTCAGTGAGACCCTGTCTCTAAATAAAATACAAAATAGGGCTGGGGATGCAGCGGCTCAGTGGTTGAGTGCCGGGGAGTTCAATCTCCAGTACTCGCCCCCCCCCCAAAAAAAAGTATAAGAGGGTTAAAATGAAAATGTGGAGAAAATAGAGACAGTGGGGAAGTCTTTTTCTGGGTATTTGAGTTTGAACCCAGGGGTGCTTTTCCATGGAGCTACATTCCCAGTCCTTTTCTTTTTTTATTTTTTAATATCTATTTATTTATTAGTACCACTGAAACCAAACCCAGTGCGTCACATCCCCAGTGCTTTTTATTTTTTATTTTGTGACAGAGTCTCGCTAAGTTGCTTAGGACCTCCCTAAATTGCTGAAGCTGGATTTGAATTTGCAATCCTCCTGCCTGAGGTTCCCAAATTGCTGGGATTACAGGTGGCACCATTTGCCTAGCTATTTTTATTTTTAGGTACCTGGGACTGAACCCAAGGGGCACTTAACAAGTGAGCCACATCCTTAACCCTTTTTATATTTCACTAAGTTGCTTAGGGCCTTCCAAGTTGGTGAGGCTGGATTTGAACTTGGGATCCTGCTGCCTCAGTTTCCTGACTCTCTGGAATTATAGGCAAGAGCCACTGCACTCAGCTATTTTTTTTTTTTGAGACAGAATCTCACTAAATTGCTGAGGCTGGCCCCCAACATGCTTTCCCCCCAACTCAGCCTCCTAAATCTCTGGGGATAGGGAAGTCTTCATAGGGTTGAAAAGTCTGTTTGGAAGTACACTCTTGAATGTTTGGTTTTAGTTTGATTTTTTTTTCCACTGTGTTATTTAAGAGCATTCCCATTTTCTCCTCTCAGGGTTATTCCTTTGTTAAGGTTAGTCTGGTGTGAATGCCGGTGACTGGAGGTAGAAATGAAAAGTCAGAATTATATCCCAGCATCAGGGGTGGGAATGTAACTCAGTGGTGGAGTACATGCTTTGGGCTATGAATTCCATCCCCAGCAGGAAAAAAAAAATATTCTGGATCCAAACACATTCTGTCAGTACTTAAACCGCCCCCCCCACTCCACCCCCCAAAAAAGGCCTTTGAGTTTTGAGACTATTCCCTCCTGTGTCACCATCACTCTCAACTTACATCCCCATCCCAAATTTGATTCTTCTCAATAATGTGAGTACCAACTATGTTCTGGGGTGCTTTCTGGGTTCTGGGATGCAGCCATGAACAGGAAAGATAAAGATCCCCTGTCCATAGCCTCCTCCCCCACACCTCTACCCTCAGCAAAAGCAAACTTGCAGAAGATGGATATGGAAGCTCTGAGAACAAGAATGCTTCCTTCCCAGCTGGTGGCAACACTCCCAGCCCCAGCTTTCCCTGCCCCCGTTGTAGAACAATTATTTTTTACCCAAAGACAGCTGGACATTGTCAGGGCCGGAACCTTTGGGGTTATCTTGGAGGGATTATATGGCTGTAAAATGCATCGGGTTCCAGTCAGTCCCATCCATCACTGCTCTGTGGACTTAGCCCTCCTGAAAGTTTGAAGCTCTGATGTTGTGAGTGCCACTGTCACCAATTAAAGTGAACAGAAGTGTGTGCTTAAGGTGGGACTGACCCTTCCCCTGGGTTTCTGTGTTTTCATGCTGTCGTCCATTCCAGATGAATTGGAACTTAACGGCCTTTGACATTTAAAGCATGTCAACTTTGCTGCCTCCCTATCTCCTTGATGTCAGGGGAGATGTAACAGCAGGGTGGAGGAAGGATGCACTTTGAGGCAGAAGATCCCCTCCAGTGGCCATCCCCAGGCTGTCCAACAATGAGACAGATGCTGGAGAGATCATGCATTGCCTTTGTACCTTGGGGAAGATACTTTTAATGTCGGGGCTTATTTGCTTAGAACTTTTGTATTGGCAAGTCTCCTCATTAATAGTGAGCTTATCTGATACTTTGGGCCTAATTGGGAGTCCATGCGATTCCTACATCTCCTGGGAAAGGGTAGGGAGCTGGTCAGTCATCTTGAGCATCGTGACCCTGTAGATTTGTGGTGGAAAGCTCAGTCCTCGTCCCCAAGGCCAATCTATTAACGAGGACACAATTTTGAGAAAAATGAAAAAGGTTTATTGCTTTGCTAGCAAAGGAGAAACACAGGGGAATCCTGTCCCAAAGGCTGTGTCCTACCCATCTGCAGGAATAGGGAGATTTTATAGTAGTAATTCAGAGAAAATGAGATTAGGGAGGAGAGATCAGGGAGAAGTTTATGGAAAAGAAGATTGGGAAAAAGAAAAAAAAAAATCTAAGTTTCAAAGCCACAAGGGATATCGTCAAAACATCAAGTGAGGGCTGGGGCTGTAGCTCAGGGGCAGAGCTCTTGCCTAGTATGTGTGAGTCACTGGGTTTAATCCTTAGCACCACATAAAAATAAACAGATAAAATTAAAAAATTCTGTCCATCTACAATTACAAAAAAAAAAAAAAAATGAACCCCAGTTACAGATTCTTGGGCTGCTTCTCAGATCAACCCCTCATATCACCCTTATCCCCATCCCAGGAGCCGCATGGTCCTAAGGGCCACTGAAGCCTTTTACCTGCTGGTGAACAACAAGAGCCTGGTCAGCATGAATGTGACCATGGCGGAGATCTACAGGGACTACAAGGATGAGGACGGCTTCGTGTACATGACCTACGCCTCCCAAGAGACATTTGGTTCCTTAGCGTTGGCAGACCCCAGTGACCTCGGGGACAGATCTGCAGTCATCACTAGCCCACTTCAAGAAGAATTTGTCCTCTGAACTGTGCACCAGGTGTTGGCAGAAGGAACTGATTTTCTTCTGCATGTGCACTGGAGGGGCCAGAAGGGGCCAGAGATGGATGGGAAGATCAGCTCCAACCAGTGACAGCCAAGCTGTGGCCCTTCCTGCTTTACCTTTTCTGCGATCCATGCTCTTATATTCCCTAAGAAAAATATGGGCTTTTGCTAAGTTTTATAAATAGCAACTCTCTTCTGAATAAGAAATGTTTAGCTGATATGATGGTTTTGTATGATGAGCTGGTGATGTGTGCCAAGTGTCATCTGTGGTGG